ATGGTTGGTTGGATGAATGGATGGATGCATGGATGGTGGATGGATGGGTGGTTGGATGGTTGGTTGGTTGCTTGGTTGGTTAGATGGATGTATGTATGTATGTATGGATGGATGTATGGATGGATGGATGGATGTATGGATGGATGGATGTATGGATGGATGGACGGACGGACAGACGGAAGGATGGATGGATGGATGGATGGATGGATGGATGGATGGATGGATGGATGGATGGATGGATGGATGGATGGATGGATGGATGGATGGATGGATGGAGGAGGTAGATGTATTTTGATTGTTTTCTTTGCTTTTGTGCTCTTTTCATTTCCACTGTCCCAGTTGGACAATTTTACACTCTCTGTGGATCAGTTCCATGTTTTAGTTTTAGTTTTTCTGCGGCCATTTTATTGCTCAACATTTATTGATTGTGTGAATGAAATGATGTAATCATAGCTTTTGAGATAAGGAGGCGGGGCCCCTGACTTTGAGGGCCCACGTGTTCAGCATGTTGACCCGTTCACCTGCTGTTCAAACATTCCTCTGCCTCACCATGATGAAACTACAAAGCTGCAGGATTTCACAAGCAATAAAAGCTGTGCTCACAGTACCAGGAAGATTCAGCCTAGATGTAGATGTTTAGTTTCATCTTCATGTGTGTGACGTGTTGTGTTCGTCATGGCTCCAAATGTTCATGTCTGAAAAATGATTAAAATATCTAAATGAGTGTATCTCTCCCAAATCGTTGTGACTTCAGGACAAATTTACCTCCAATGGAATTTTGTTTGCAGGATTTCACATGTGATCTAATGTGGGGCTCTCTCTCAGATGAATCATCATCTCCCCCAACACGTGGATTCTTTTCTCTTGGTTCTGCACCGTCACGTGCCTGGAGGGGGGACGCTTGCTCCAAGTTCAGAGAACCTTTGGACTTGGGTTGTTTGTCAGTTGGTGCAGGACTTCTTAAACGCAGCGACGCCCCTGCAGTCAGATCATCCCAGGAGGTGTTTAGGATATTAGCAATCCCACAGGGAATACCCACCTCCTCAGACCACTTGTGTTGTGAAAGAAGATGGGCCAACTCGTCTAATAACTGGGGGGCTACTCGCTTGTAGGCGTCCATTGGATCGCAGTGGTTCGATGCAGCACTGACACATGGGGAGACATCAAGCTCATCTTCTTCACATGGTTCATCTGAGAGTTTTTGTCTGTCTGGCTCTTGGTTTTCACATCCCTGACCTTCCTTTGGATTACTGTAAATAAAATAAAGAGCAATTAGGGTCAGTTCAGGTAAAATGATGACATCATTTCTCTTACATCAATCAATCAATGCATTATCTTGACACATGCTTCCTGCCCGGGTCATGGAGACCTGGTGCCCATAACCAGCTGTCACTGTACAAGAGGTGGGGGACACCCTGGACAGGTCTCCAGTCCATCACAGGGACATAGAGACAAATGAGACAAACAACCATTCACTCTCTCTCTCACCTAGGGACAATTTAGAGTTACCAATCAGCCTAACATGCATGTTTTTGGTCTGTGGGAGGAAACCGGAGCACCCTGTGAGAGCCCATGCGTGCATGGGGAGAACATGCAAACTCCACTGAAACAGAGACAAACCTGTGACCTTCTTGCTGTGAAGTAACCTCTCTAACCACTGTTCTCCCATTTCACTGGTAGCAAATTTTCTTGTGAAACACTGGTCAGATTTTCATGAAACGTGCAGAACGTAATTATTGGATGTACGTCTACAGCTGGTTCATTTTCAGAGCCAACCAGTTTCAAGATGGGCTCTACAGCCAGCTCACTTCTGCAAACACAAAACTGATTACAAGTCAGCTGGTTTTAAAGATTTAGACATAAAACGTGTTGTGGTGGTAGCTTGAAATGATCACCAACACAAACTCAGAGCACATAATCTGTTTACAATTCTGTTATTAACTATTGTCTGTTAGCGAAATACCGCATGAATTAATCCAATGAAACCTTCACAAAATACTTAGTGTATTCTTCAAGATTTGGACTGACACAAAAAAGGCTATAATTAGGATGATTTTACAGATATTGTGCTAAAAATGGCCGTGCAGTAGCTGAGAGTCAACACAGACTTTGTTGTGCATGCATAGTGGCCTAACATTTAACCAGGTTTGACTGAAACATACACAACTCTCTCTCTTCACAATCTTAGCCTAAATGAAAGGCAGCAGGTGTGTTCCTTAAAATAATGGGTCTTTAATTCAAAGATGTGATCATTGTTCTGTTAAACACAGATGTTAGAGGCACACCACAATCCAACATGAACATACTCGGATTATGAATGGAGCAAATCTGTAATTAATTATGGTCACAAACTCTGAGTCCGACAAAACAAGACTGCAGATACAAGCGGTCAAAATAAGTTTCTCCCTTAGAGATAATGTGAAAAGTTCAGTTATCTGGGAGAGACTCGGAGTAGAACCGCTGCTCCTCCACATCGAGAGGAGCCAGGTGGTTTGGGTATCTGCCTCCTGGGCACCTGTTCAAGGGAGGAGACCCTGGAAACATCTGGCCTGGAAACATCTTCAACACAACCTAAAGGAAGAGGTGGCTGTGCCAGATGTCTGTCTCACTGCTCAAACTGCCACAAGACCTGACCCCAGAACAAGAGGCAGATGCTGATGGGTGATAGATGTAGATGAAAACTTATTAAGCTGAAACTAGTGATAAGAATGTATTAAAAGTATCAGTGTGCTTGTTGTGTTATCAACTATCACGTGACCTTGTTTAAAGTAACAAAAGGAACTGACCTTTGTGTTGCAGCCTCCAGCTGAGCCTCTCCGTTTGTTGCTCTGTAGTTTAACATGTAGCTGCGGGACCCGATCATTCGGCTGCGTCTTGCCGGCTGCAGCAAAGCGGATACTTGGTGTGTGTGTGCGTGTGCGTGTGTGTGTGTGTGTGTGTGTGTGTGTGTGTGTGTGTGTGTGTGTG